TTTTTGCAGCCGGAGCTGGTTGTAACCCGAAAAGTTCGTTAACGGAGGCGTTCGTAACCCGAGGTACCACTGTACTAGCAAGATAAATGCAACCTAATTTTAATAATAACTATAGCATCATAAAACTGGGTTGTAAGGGTGCCTTGATGTGCTTCTCATTCTAAGCTGTACCAAGGAGAAGCTTTGGAGGTGGCAGTGATGGTGGTGGGAACAGGCCTTGGTCCTAGCTATGATATCACCAGGGTGCGCACAGTGATTTGGAGGACCACAAGTTTGAGACCTCTGTTAGCCCCATCAGGTAGACCAGACCAGGAAATCTGCTCCACAGGAAGACTAAAGCAACTTTCATTGAGAGTATGGCTCAATAACATGATATAATATAATAACAAAATCTTGCAAGTCTGGTTATACTGTACCTCCTCCCACTTCTTATACTCCTGTGAATTAGGGAAGTGTTTTCCTGAGCTGCTTCCACAAATTTTCTGTCTGTTGTGGACTTAAGATATATTTCCTCCCTTGTCATTTTGGTAACAGATCTTCCATATCACTGTCAAGATCTTCTTCCTTACTCTCTCTAATCTCTGATCTAAATCAAACTGTTGAGCAATGTGGAAATACCCTTGACAAAGATATGCAGAAGCTCTTAAAGGGAGGAGAAGTGACAGCAGGAAAATGAGTGAAAGAAACTCAAAATAACCCTGCCTTGATTCTGTTTAGTATGGGCAGGGGGGGGGGACTTCGTTAGCTTTCAAGATTCTGTTATTATACCCTACAACAGTAGTGTTTCAATAATCCTTGTGGTGTCTCTTTTCTGACCTCAAATGGCTGACACAAACAAGGAGGGAGGGAGGAATTAAAATTTAGGATTACGGTATGTTCCAATGCTTAAAATTAGTTTACTTATCATGATCATTTGTAATGGGAACAATTCAGATAATTTAATGGAATAGCTGTTGGTTAGGTGAAAGTTGGGGAGAGTTCAAGGTAGCCAGCCTCTCTTTTTGCTCCATAGCTTGTTAAAATCTTGGCTTGACCCCCAGATTGGAGGTTTCATTCACAGGAATTGTCACTTCAGTTTGATAAGGCTCTAATGCAGGGTTTCCCAACCCTGGCAACTTTAAGATGGGTGGACCAACTCCCAGAATTCTCCAGCCAGCCATGCGGGTTGAAATCCACCCATCTTAAAGCGTGCTGGCTAGAAAATCCTGAGAGTTGAAGTCCATACATCTTAAAGTTGCCAGGGTTGGGAAACACTGCTCTAATGTGTGAGCTTTGGAGCTCTTGTTCATTGTTATCTGCTATCTTAAAAACCACCTGAAAAGTACATTGCCCTTTGTATAAGATGGTTTCATTTTCCTAAACAAAGTACAGCAGTTATTTGGAATCTGGAGGCATTCTATTAGTTTTATTTATTTACCTCTTTACAGTATTTTTATATGGCTTTTCATTGATTATGTCTCACTCATTTGTTGTTCTTGCTGCAGGTAACTTAAGATTTGATTTAAACAGAGAAACTGATCTAGTAATGAGTTGAATTCTGGTAGCTGAAGTAACCTTTGTTATGACATTGCCCTGAGCGTCCTGGGTAGATTGTATTTGTAGCAGTCACACTCCTTCTTGTTGTTCAGAGGAGTATCAGTCCAGCAGATAAATAGCTATAATATGCATACATAGCTTAGTCAATGCCTATACTGCAGTTGGTTGGTTTGATTCATCCTTCCTTGATGCTTTTTGTTGTTGAAGCAAGATCTTTTGGTGCTTCCCTCCATCAAAACAACAAGACTTTATTTTCATAGACTAGCATAAAATACAAACAAGGAAAATTACTTCCATTTTAATAATTTCACTGAAACCTATAAGCAATAAAGGATCCCTAAGACCTTGGATGACTGACACAATGCTACAAAATTAAAAGATTAAAATATCTCTACAAAAATTATTATTGTTGTTCCCTCCATCATAAATTGCTCTGCATTCTCACCTTGACATCCTCTGTTCATACTGCTTTTTCACAGATTCCATCTACGGTTCGATGTCTGAACAACGACAAGGTCCTGGCCTTCCAACAGCAAACCCAGTTTTTATGGGAAACATATTTTTCTTCTGTGGAGAAGATTGTGCAAACCACTCTTGAGGTAAGCTGCAGGAGTGTACCCACAGTTTGCCCCAATATTTTATCTGTAGTTACTTCCATTTCTGTGATTGAGTTCACATGTCATGCTAAACTGTAGTTTGCTAAATAAATTACAGTTGGCTAGATTCATATAACACAAGCCATAAAACATGGTTTATAGAGTGCAGTGACTGGGTTCACACAACACATTAAGCCATAAACCCTCAAACAAACCAGCTAGCTTCATACAACATGTTCAGCACAGAATGGCTTAGCATGATGGTCAAAGGAAGCCACAGAGAGCCAGTGATTTGGCTATCAGGTTGGGTGCAACCCTCAAGGTCTATCTCCCTGGCCCATCAAACTCCTTCCCACAGTTCTCTCTTTGCTGCTAGGTCTGGGCTGAGCAGTTGGGGGAGAGAGAGTGGGGACGGTGTGGTTAAACTTCATGTAATTCCCTCTACAGCTTCACTGATCCTTGGGTCAAGCCTCACACAACTGGGCAAGATCACATGTGGATTGCTGATATTGTACCAGCCTCCATGCTGCACAGCAACCTCCCTGTCTGTTGCTTGATACTCCAGTTAGGTTGGCAGTGAAGTTCTCCAGATCTATGAGTGCTGGGGGACTTCAACTTGCCTTCCTTGGACCCAGAACTGGAGGGAGTTCATGGGTGCCATGGCAACCATGGACCTGATCCAGGTTATTGAGGGCCCAAGTCAAAGTGAAGGTCCCACTCTAGATCTGTTTTTGTCCCAGGACAGTGATGACATAACCTGGAGTTGGAGGACATTATCAACAGTCGTTTGTCACAGTTGGATCTCTCCCTGTTAGTCTTTAATTTCTTTGAAGCTGCCCCTAGCCACATGGAGGAATGACCTATTTGATCAGTCTGACCTAGGTGTCTAATGGGTGCACCTGGGTTTCAGAGGGAACTTGGGGTTGTCTCTGTTCAACCAAGAGCCTTTAGGGGCTGCTTGGAAACAGAGGACAACAGCAGCCTTGGATCAGATCGTGTAGAGAGCCCCAACTGTTTTGGAAGCTGCATTGACTTTCAGGTTCAATTCAAGGTGCTGGTTATCACCTATAAATTCCTATGTGGCATAATTTGTGGGATCTTCTGTCTCCTATCGTTTCTGGTCATCCCAACAGATCTGGCAGGGTTGTTATGCTCTAGGTCCCTTCTGTGAAACAGTGCCAAACTGTGGGGTCCAGGACACTTGTCTTCTCTGGAACAACATCCCCCCTGAGATTTGAATGGCCCCAATCATGTTAGTCTTCTTGCAGAGCCTGTCTTTTCTTTTAGGCATTGGGCCAGGATGTTAGGTGTGTAAAATTGGTGAAGTGTTTTTTTCCCCCAATGGGTTATTAGGAGCCTTGGTTGCACTCTATTGTTTATGTGTGATTAAATTATTCTGTGTTTTTGGAGTAATAGAGATTTCAGTTTTGTTTTGTTTTTTACTTTTGTGTTATGTTGTTCGCATGTTTTTATGTATTGCTAGCCTCCCAGAGTCATTATATTGAGATGGACAGCCATATAAATCATATACATCTTTGCTGGCTTTTCAGAACCTTTGAAGACTGAGCTGTTTTGGACAGTTTCTCCCTGATTTGATGTTGACATCATAGTATCTGTCTAGATGTGAATGCCTACGGGCTTAAACTCAAGAAGATGATTTAACCCAAATCTTAACTCCTGTATAATGTTTGGTACAAGGTGAATTCCAGCCTAGCATATTTTGCCTAATGTTTTAGTCATAGTTAGCGTTTATGTAACACTTTCAGAGCTTTTTCAGACTGCCTCACCTACAGTTTCTTATTAAGGCAAACAGTATGCCTGCCGGTAGCCAGCGTGGCCAGTATCTTCATACTGGAAATACAAAAGAGGAAACAAGAAGACAATAATGGCATGTCAAATTTGAATCTCGACTTCCTGGCTACTCTTCCACACTAGCCCAGCTTTTTCTACTTGAAGCCAAGAAGAACAGTTGAGATTGATCTCACATCCAGGAGACGCCTTCTTCTCCAGCAGGTGCAGATGGCTCCGGGGTGTACTGCTTGTATAAAGACAATTATCTTTCTCTTTGCTAGATAATAAGGGATCGGATATTTCATCAGGAATCACGCCCAAAGTTCTTCTGGAATACACTTCCTGGAGGTTTGGTGGCATTGCCAGAATACTCCACTCATCTCAGTGACTTCCCTTTCTACTATCTGCAGCAAGGTACGGGAAACATTCTTTTGCTATTTCTAACATCATTTTTTATCCCTACTCTTTGTTTCTTAAGAAAACACTTGCTGGGGTGATGATGGACCTACCACAAAATGTAGCATGGAGTTTTCAGTTTCAAGGATTTAGTCTCTCTTCCAGGATACTCCATCACGCACCATCACTCCCACCCCGTTTTCCACTTTCATCTTTAACAGATGCTTAGTATTATCATTAGCTTGAAAGTGTATCTGCTTGCTTGTTGATCTATTTTAGGAGGTGTTGTTGTATCCTTAGATTTCCCCCCTAAAGTATTTTTGTACTTACATAAATTTTAAGGTTTCCCTGAGTAAGCTGATACCTATATCTTTTTTTTTTTAATTAGCATTTACCCACTGCATTCATTATTAGAGGGAGGGGTTGTTATGACACCCTCAGTGTCTAGCCTTATAGAGGGTAAAGAATTGTAGAGCTGATCTTGGAGAAGGTATGAGAAAGCCATCAAGTGGGGAAGGAAGAAGCAAGGCATTAAGGAGAGACTTGGAGAAGAGATTACACAGCCCAGAGTTTGCAGGAAGTATGAGAAAGAAATAGCCCTGCTGTGATTTTGTTTACGCTAAGATGGGACTGAGAGAAACTTGGACAGGCTTTCCAAATTACAATAAAGGACATTCCTGGAATCCCTGCCATGCCTGTTTCTTGGCCTGGCCTCCTTTGAAGGGCTGACAAAGAGTTACATAACTAACACAGAGCAGCCGTTGCTCCCAAGAAGCTTACAACCAGACATTTGGGAGAAAAATTAAAAGGGAGAAACAAACGCAGTAGAGAGGATGGAATAAGGGCAAATACCATCATGCGTCCATCTCTCTAAGTGCCAGGCATGTCCAATGCAAGGGCCCCTCTTTTGCAAGGCTGGTGGGCACCTCTGGAGTCTTAACAGCGTACCATGGGCATTGTCACAAAATAGCTGCTGTGCCAGTCATAAGTCATCTATTTCCCCAAAGGCAAGCTGGTGAAATCGGTGCCTCTTCCAGAGTCAAGGATGCTCTCTTATGCTTTAGTTTAGTGATCTTTTTACCAGGGCAGATGAGTAATTGTCCATGCAAAGCACTGAGCAATAGCCACTCCCTCTTTTTATTTATAAGAAAGCCTCTGAGATTCATGTGGAGCAACCTGATATTTTAGGAAGGAAAGAGAGTGCTGGAGGCATTAAATTAAGGTGGGTTGTTATAGATTGGTCAAGGTGTTAGCTAAGCTGTAAACAAGCATAGCTGACATTGCTACTAATGCTATCCTTATGACATCTTCCCTCATCCCTCTTGCTTTCTTCTACTGTTTCCATTAGCAATGAATTATGAATTGCAAGTTTCCTGGGGTGGAGACCTCTCTTCTTTTATCTTCTGTACACTGGTACAGAAGTTCTTTTTATCTCATCATGTACACTGGTGGCACTAACTCAACCACTAATAATAATTTCAACTTGGTTAGATAGGAATTAAATTTCAGCAGGTAAGCCAAAATGGAAGGTAAGTTTTGAGGAGGGTTTTAAGCATCCCAGGCTCACCATGTCTCTCCTCTAACAGGATCCAGCCCCTCCAAGAAGTTTACAGCATTAATCTGGGCTGTCTCACCAATTGTCTCCCTTTCCCAGCCCATCCTCAAGCTCATCCAAGCTGTCTCCAGCTCCCAGCACTGCGCCAAGGTAAAAGAGAAGTCAAACGTTTCTTGCTGTTGCTGTGGTAGAAAAGGAGAAAAGCTGTGGCCAGCAAGATTCTCTGTTCTTCGCAAAGCTGTTAAAATGGGAAGGACTTGGGTCATGCTTTCATGCTATGCTTTCATGCTTGTGGTATCATGCTAGAGGCATCTCATTCTAGGTCCTTTAAGGAAAATAATGCTTTTTTTTTTTTTTTAGCTCTTTGGGGTTAATTTCCATGGTCTCCCATGCCAAAGAGGAGTCAACCCTACAGTGTGAAGATCTCTGCTCTCTGTTCTGTTAGCACATCTCAGATGCATCATGTCCTGCTACTGTATTTTAATAGTTATGAATATTTTTCAGCATGGTTATAATATGCTTGCCTTCTTTCTTCAGTTCTCTTTATTGCTGGCCATCCCAGATCTGGTGATGCAGGTAGCATCTGGAGAAGGTTGAGCTGTGCTGTACCTTCCTTTTGATCAGCTGGAGGTGATGGGGTTAGAAATCAAATCTCATTTCTCATTTGGAAAACAACACACTCTCAGATCTCAGCATCTCAAGGAAAATATTCTAATTCAATGTCTTTCCTGAGTACTAATATATTTGTTTTACATTCAGGAGCATGAAAAAAGATCACCTCCACCTGAAATTTGTAGCACTACAGTACAGTACTGTCCTTTCCAGCATCTCGAATTTCTACTGCCTCTTCCCCATCACTCTTATGTTTAATGGCAGCTCTCACCTCCTTGCTGCCCTCTTAATCCAAACATCCCCAGGCAGGCCCCCAGATGCACTGGACTACAATTCCCACATTCTCATTCATGCCTTTTGTCATGAAAACTGCTGGGAGGTGTGATCTTTCAGAGTTGTGCTGTAGAAAATCCTGTGAAGCTCTGGTGCCTTTTCCATTCCCCCGTGTATTAGAGAGTGGTGGAGGGTGTGGCAGCCTTAGGATATAACTGGGTGGGCTAGTAACCTTTATTGCTGTCAGCAGGTCTCACCTTCCCCTCTAACTACAGGGCAAGTCCTGTCAACAGCAACGTCTCTGCTGCAGATGAGCTCAGCTAGCAGGCCGCGCCCATCCTGAGCATTTCAGAATGTATGGCAGTAAATAGACTCTTCTTAGTTTGCGAGCTCAAAAGTCTAAGCAAACCATCCTTGAAGCTTGTCTGCTTTAGAAGTAAAGGCTCATGTGACTTCAGCAGATGCGTCCCAAGGAAACATGCATTGGTCTGTAATCTAGTGCGCTATATAGAGGCCAGTTTGGTGTAGTGGTTAAAGGTTCTGGATGGAAGCTGGGAGACCATGAGCTCGTCCTTAGGCCAATTATTATTTCTCAGCCCTTGGAAGAAGGCAGTGGCAATCCACTTCTGAAAATGTTGCCCGGAAAACTGCAGAGAGCTATCCACGTAGTTGCCAGGAGTCAAAAGTGACTCAGAGGCAGAATAAAAGAAGCAAGCAAGAAAGAAAAAGATGAAGTCTTGGTGTTCCTTTCAGGGAGGTTGAGTGACAATTGCTTGGTGCTGTTCCATAATGTGAAGTATTGCCAAGCATTGTTTGCAATATGAATGACTGTCCTGCATTTTTTTAACCAATTCTCTTTCACTTTGAGGAAATCAGGAACATGTCTGCAAAATTCTCCTGAATAGAGTGTGATGGTATTGAACTTGTTTAGACCTGAGGCACCCAATGGGAATATGTGAATGTCCTGCCTTTCCTAGTAGAGTCATGTCTCCAAAAGTTGGCTGCTTCCTGGATTCCCATGATTTCATTAAATCCCAGAGGGAGAGTTTGGGAGGGACTCTTTTTCAAAGGCTTTTTCAGGTTGGGAATTGCAAGCAGGTAGGAAGGCTTCAGAGTGATGGAAAACTGTCTAACAGAAAAACATGCAGCAAGAAAAGTACAGGTAGTCCTCAGGTTACGACCATTCATTCAGTTACCATTCAAAGTTCTGATGGCACTGAATGAGTCTTCAGAGTTCTGGCCATCACAATGTCCCCAACCGTCACGTGATCACGATTTCTGACGTTCCCTGCTGGCTTCCCACAAGCAAAGTCAATGAGGAAGCCAGCAGAAAGTTGGAAGTTGGAAGTCGTCGTCACATGAGGTCCTCGCTTAGCAATGGCAACTGGGACTGCTGGAACTGCTGTTGCTAAGCAGTGCGGTCATGGGATGTCGCGCTTCATGACCGCATCACTTAGCGACAGGAAATCTGATCCCAATTGCCATTGTAAGCTGAGGACTACTTGTATCTTCCACCATTCCACCAATACTCCAAAAAATGTACCAAAGAAAACTTTGTAAGGAATTCTCAAGCAATGGTGAATAAGGCAGAAAAACAGAAACTTCTTTCCAGTGAAAGAAAGCAATGGAGAAATTGCAAGTCCTGTTTTAATATAGCATAAATGTGAATGGCTTTTGGCTGTCTCTCAGTTGCATGACCTAATTTTAAGAGGAGAAAAATGGAACAGTGTAGCCCACCATGAACCCTGGAAATAGAATAGGGAAGGGAAGGAAAGGGAAGGAAAGGGAATGCCCTGAAAGATGCATGCTGAAAATGCTGAAAGGGCTTCATGGTGCAAGCATTCGTGAACAAGATATACTGCTACTAAAAGGGCCCTCCTTTCGCCACACACCCAGAAAAGAACTTATGATGAAGATCTCAAATATTCCAGGTGGGAAAATTTCATTAGGAAAGATCCACATCTCTGTAGCTTTCATTGTAACAAGCAATTGGAATGTGTTTACTACAGCAACTTCTTATCTGCTCCTTGGTTGTATAATTTAAATTTGCTGCAGGGAACCATTAGCATTTTGGGGTCAACTGTTCCTATGAACTTAAAATGCTGGCTTGAGAACTACCTTCTGGAGCCAAAACGTGGCAGCATTTGCACACTGGAATTCCTGCTTCCAAACCCCAGATGCTGTTTGAAAGCAGGGACTTGGGCAGCTTGCCAAGCAGGATAAGGAAAATTGTACAAGCTGAAATTCCCGAGGCAGTCTTGTGATGAGACAAAGCCAGAGGACCACCCCAAACAGGGTGGCTTTGGGGCATCAGTGTAGGAGGCTGAGTACAAACAAGGTGATTTAACACAACAAGAGTTTGCTGCATGTTTTCTTAGATAAGACCCATAGAAATAAGCAGAGCTTTTGGGCTTTGGCACAACTCCTGTCAATTTCAGTGAGGTTCTATGCCAATGGGTTTCGTTCCTCCCCATGGATGGGAGGAGACATGCCATTTGAGGTGTTTGCTGCAGGAACCAAAATATGCTCTTAAGATAGCCTTGTGAAATTCTCTCTTCTGCCTAGCTCTTTACATAGTCCTCTCCAACCAGTTGATCCCCAGAGATGGATTTCAGCTTCCATAATCCCCAAGCAGGCTGGCAATTGGCCAGGTTGGTTGAGAAGAGTGGGTGTTGCAGTCCTGATGAGAGAGGGTCCTTATAAAACCTAAGTAGACATGTTTTTTTCCAGCCAGGGCTGTACTTTAATTTGGTCTGGCATTGGAGACCAAATCAGGGAAGTCTTGATTTCAGGGAGAAAGGCCAACATTTTTGCTTGTTTTCTGAGTTTTGTTGGTGGGTTACAGCAATGGATGCCTTAAAATAGGCTTAAGGCACTCATTTCACTCCTTAAAACCCCCCACATGGAAAAATTCAGTCTGATTTTTAGGGGAATCGGGGACTTTTGGATGATAACATGAGCATGTGCCTCTGGAGAAAATTAAATATCTTTCCACCCTTCCACCTAATCCCACTTCAGGCCTTTTGAAAACCTGGCTCTTCCTTCTGGGTTTAGAGCCAGGATGTTGGTGGAATCTGATTTGTTTATATGCTGTGCTCTGCAATGAATTGAGCAATTGATTATTTTTACCTGGCATCTTTTATTCTTTTAATTCTTTTAAATATGTATATTTTAGTTTTTATGCCTTGTTGGTTGCTCAGAGTTAAGATGGGTGGCCGCATAGATTTGCAGAATGAACAAAGAAATAAATAAATACAGTGTGGGCCACAAAATTAAGATGATTGTTCTGTCCTGTGTTTCAGCCGGCTAACCAGGAAGTTCTGTTTCTTGTACAGATTTTAATCTTATGGAGCTGTGAGAAGCCAGCTCCACAGAAGTGGCCACTGACCACAGTTCCCTTGACCGTCATTCAAAGCAGCAGCAAGGTAAGAGGCCATCCAGATTGGCTTTGATTGTCATGGAGAACATTTTAGGAAGGAAAGACCTTGCCAAACTCTGCTAAGACCCACACTCCAGCAGGAATCCTGCTGACGCTCAAAACACCCCAGTTCACCTCTTTATCATTCAAAGCCAGCTCTCCTCCTTATCATTCAATCTGCATTTTCTGAGCATTCAACCAGAGATCAGTGTAAGGGCAAGAGCAGATCTTCCACTTGACTTTTCTTGCTCTCTAATTTTGAAAAGTGTCCTAGTGGGCAGGTATTCAAGAGGAAAGTAGCAATTCCAGTAGCAAAAAGGAAGCAGAAATGTAACCTGAGAAAACATCTCAGACAAGACCTTCCCTAGTTCTCACCAAGATAAAGGGAGGGAGGAAGCACATTCAGACTTGCAAGATTCTGTTCTTGTATCTTACAATAAAAGTAGTATTGGTCTACATGACTTTGGTTTCCTGGTCTGGTCTTCCTTGAAGGGCTGACAGAAAGTGCTTTTCTGTTCCCTTCCTTCTCCTCTCTTCTCCTGCAGGTCAGCGAACGGTTTTTGCCTTACTCTGCTATTGGGACAGATGCCGTGCTGAGCCTTGATGAATATGCCAGTCTTTCAACCAGTGAGGTGAGAAAGTTCTCCAGAACCTTTCTACTCCTGCTGTAGCCATGGAGCTTGGATATGTGAAGGGGCAAGTGATTACTTAAATGCAGAGTAAGGCCTAGAACCTGGGACAGTTCAGTTGAGAAGTAGTCAGTCCACTGCAACTGAGAGGGGGTTAGGGACCCTTGAGAAATGTCATTTCCCCTTCCTCCAAATGCATCTCTCTTACAGATTTGACAAAGCATATGCTGTAAGCCTATATATTTATATATGTGCAATATTTTATAATTAAATTGTTGACATTTAAATTGGCTGACTTAGAAATAAAGGGGGAAAAGGAATTAAGTGTATACACTAAATATGCAATTCTGATGTCTAATGAGTTATCCAGCTGTGATTCCCCATTGTAAAATGCTTGCTCAGATATGGAAAGGGAAAGATAAGTCATCTTTGCATGCTCTGCTTGCAGAAGGTTCTAGCTTTAATCTGTGACATCTCCAGAACTGCTTAGGAGAGACCGTAGCTGATCCTAGAGAACTGCTGCTGGTGAGAGTAGGTCAAGCCTTTCCCGACCTGAGGTCTTCCATTACTACTTCCGGAATGCCCCATCAGCATGGCTAGTGGCTGGCAATTCTGGGAATTGCTGCCAGTCACAGCACTTCTATGAGGTTTCCACCACTTCCATCTCAGCTTGAGCTCACTTTGTCATCCCTCCTCAGCAGCTGAGCTGATTTATTTTCACCTCTGCTGTCATTCTCCAAAACTTACTAAATCCAGTTTTCAGTAGAAATGCTGGAGCTCTGGTGGATGGACCATTTTTCCATTGTTGGGAACTCGCGCTTCATCCTATCGCCTGACTCATAGCTTCTCCCTCTCCTTCCAGAGATTAAGTTCAAGCTATTAAATTTCTTTTAATAAATTGAGCAGAGGAATAGTGCCTTGGTAGCCTGCAGCCCTTCCTTATTGTTAATGTTCAGAGGTGTTAAATGCCAAACAAAACAGACTGTAGACTAGGACATGGGTCATCAATTCTGGGCTAGGTGAACCAACACGGTTTCCTATGTTTCTTTTTCCCTCTGGCCATGGGGTTAAGCAGAAGGTCTTTTATGACCTCCACTACCTAAGAGAAAAGACTTCTGGAGAAGAGGTTCAGTTAATACCAGGCCAGCCCTCATCTGCTGCTTGTTTGTAGGTGCACCTGGGACTGTCCTCCTAGGCCTTGTATTCAAATATGAGCTCAATGCCAGGCAGATGGCCTTGGGCTTGTGAGGCATAGCTCCTAAATTTAGACAGTTGGGGAAATGATGAAGGAGAAGTCTCTTTCCTTTAAGCAGGGCTCAAGTGGGTAAACCATTTAGGGTGGGGCAAAATGGCTCTGATTTTGGTGTGCCTTTTTTTCTTGGAGGACAAACAAGAAAGAGGTCTAGGTGAATGCATCAAGCATGCAGTTGCATATTATGGATGCCATGAGTTAATACTGCAGAGATTATGCTACTTGGAAAAAAGAAGGAATATAGTTTGATCGTAGAAGACATGACTTCCACGTAGACAACCTTAAGTACCATCTTACAGATCCGCTTCCCCCAAATTCTTTTCCTGCTCTCTTCCTTACTTTTTAGGTTGACTTTGCCTTTGTGGTATGGAGAAGTTTCCCTGACCGGATTGTAGGCTTCCCGATGCGCAGCCATTTTGGGGATATCAGCAAGAACCAGTGGAGCTACACCTCAAAATGGACCAATGAGTTCTCTATGGTTCTCACTGCAGCAGCATTCTATCACAGGTACCCTTCCTGATTACAGAGTCTCCTGGAGTTGGAAAGAGCCATTGAGGCCACCAAAACCAGCTCCTGCTCAGTGCTGGAATCCCAATGGATGTCTCTAAGATATGGCTGTCAGCTGACGGTTGAATCCTTCCTAGGAAGGGAAGCTCAGCATCCCCCTTGGCTCACACTGCCGAAGAAGCCATTCCTAACCTTCAACTGGAACCTGCTTTCACACATTTTAAGCCCGCTCTTCTGCCTCTTGCACTCTTGAACAGATGTGGGAAAACATCAAACATCTTTCAGATATGTTTGAAGAATTAACAGGGTAGCTTGATGTCATGATGATTAATCCAGGGTAACCATAAGATTGGATCACTGGAGCAGATTCTGTGTGGATTCGTCTAGAAACTATGACTGGAGGCTTTTCCTCACATACACCTAACCATAGCCTAAGAGTAAACTCTCTTTGATTGATTGATTGATTGATTGATTGCCACCAAGTTGTTTTCAACTCCTAGTGGCTATATAGATTTTCTCCATGACAATCTATCCCTAACCTGTTCCTACATTCTTTAATTCTCTTCAAGTATACCATTGTTGAAAGTCTTTTCACTTGATTCGCCCCCCACTTCCCCCTCAGCATACTGGTGATTATCCCCTTTGTGTTATGGCTACATATTGGCATTTTTGTATATGGCTATACATTGGCATTTTTAAAATTGAGCTCTTCCAAGCATGTCTGTAAATCTATCTATAAATTAAATCAATAATTCAACCCCTTCTCCAATGCTTGGTTAGGCAGTCATCAAAGAGAAATCCTATTTTTGTGGTGATACCTTAGTTTGTGGAAACAGTTGGGAGAAATAGGGATTCTTAATCTCTCCCTCTCTTTGGTAGATGTCAGGGAATATTGTGCAGGAGTGTTTTAAGATGAGGACTTTATATAATGGGTGTTGAGTTTATGCACTAAAATTATCTTGAAGAGATGGGATTCCAGCATGGTGGAACCACAGCCTGTTGATCGGTGTTCTGACTTTGATGCCGGGAACTCTAAATCCTTAGGTGTGCTTGACAGCTGATAACCACTAAATCAGTCTTTTCCAACCAGCCATGTTCCTTAATACTTGATGGGAATTCTGGGAGCTGTAGCCTTGACACGTGTGGAGGGAGCAGGTTGAAGATAGGAGCCCTATACATTTCTGTGGGGATCTTTTTGCCCCATTCTCCCCACCCCTATGTTTTCCTTCCCCAGATACTATCACAGCCTCTTCATCAACTATTTGCCTGCCAAACTAAAGACCTTTGTTGATCAAATTGCCAACTGTGAGGATATATTGATGAACTTCCTGGTTTCTGCTGTCACCAAACTGCCCCCCATCAAAGTGAGCCAGAAGAAACAGCTCAGGGAGAACCCATCTCAACAGGTACACAGGGCATGGACAGGGAGGAGGGGGACAGAGGAGCAAGGAAAGGAATTATTGAAGATTTTTCTTCCAACACTTCTTGATGCCCTTTAAATATTACTTAGCCCAGCCTTCTCCCATTTGGTGCCCTCCAGATATGTGGGGATTTCACTCCCATAATGGTAGTATTGGCTAGTGATGATGGGAATTGATACCCCAATTAATTTAAGGACAGCAGATTGAAGCAGCAGCTTGTTGACACCAGTCCAGCATTCTGTTTCCACACAGCCTGACTCAATACTTCTCAGTAACTCCCGAGCTGCAGATGATAAAATTCTCTTTCTGCTCAGTGTTTTCTTGGAACTGATATGGGCTGTTGATTATACAACTGCTGGTTCTTAAATCATTTTTTTTTCCTTTGCAAACCAACCACACCTGTGCTAGTCTTTGGAATCCATACCTAGCAGAGGTCCATGTGACTCTTTTGAACCTGGGTTAGTTGTTCAGTGTGCAGAACCAGTAAGCCATGAGCACTCTTTGAGAAATAATCACCGATAGGAGTATAGACCTGAAGCTCTTACTGCACCTGGATGATAAACACAGAAACCTCCATATTTAGAGGGAGTTCACCTCTCAATGATGGTTGTTGTGGAGCAACAGCAGAAAACAGCTGTTGTCTTTGTCATCCTTATCCAGCATTGGGAATTTTAAAAAAAAATCAGGTCTGGTATAAGGAAGCACTCCTTGTGGAAAGCAAAAGAGGGCAATTGCACAGTTCAGGATTGCACTCCCTAACAACACACCTGAAATTAATGCTCGGTCTCTTGTTTCCTTGTCTCCTGAAGCTATTGAAAAGTGTGCCCCCATCCAACAGCAGCCTGCATTTTGCTCAACGCCAGGAGTGTGTCAATCGCTTTGCTGCCTGGTTTGGCTATATGCCTCTGGTGCATTCTCAGTTCCGCTTGGACCCAGTGCTCTTCAAAGACCAGGTATCTGTGCTACGGAAGAAGTACCGGCAACTGGAGAGGGACTAGCTCTGGGGAGAAGCACACTGCCACTCTCTGGGAACACGCTTGGAGAAAAAGACACCAGCCACGCTGGACTGTAGCCACACAGACTCACTACCAACCCCAGGCCAATGGCACTATCGCAGGACTTTGAGTTGCACTCCCTGCATTGGTGCCCTTTGAACTTTGGATACTGAAAGGTGGAAACTCTTGCTGGTAGCCAAGGTGATGCCAGATGAATGTTCAGTCTTTATTGGGTTTTACCAGTATAAATAAAGGTTTGCAGAAAACAACTCTTTCTTGTTTGCCTTCAACGGGTCTCTTTTTCAGATCAGAGATAGAAATGCTGGCTTTGGTTTCTGACACGGATAGGTGGCGTTGGCTCAAAATATACGGGGCTGATCTACAGTTTGGTCCTACAATTAGCTAGAATTGCAGGTGGTGAAATCGGACAAAGGATGTATGTTCAAATTCCTATTTCCCTGCTTCCCAGCAGATGCAGCGTCTTTTTTTAAAGGACGAATAAAACACGACATCTTTTTGGAAAAGGAAACAATCTGCGCATGCTGAAATCATGGTCTCCTCATGCTGACTTTTTCTCCAATAGTTGAATTATGCAGGAAGGAAAATCCTTCTTAGTGAATCATGCAACTTTATTCCAAAGCATGCTTCTCAGAACTTTCTAAAAAGTGTTTCTCAATCTCAGAGCCTTTGAGATGCGTGGACTTCAGCTCCCGCTGGGGGGAGATGGGCGGCATACAAATTTAATAATAAATAAATAAATAAATTCCCCAGCCAGCATTGAACCACCACAAAAAAGGCAATGAAATCCTCCTGCTTCGCCATAATTTTTTTTTTTTTAAATTGCTCATCACCAGAAGGCAAATAGACTATATCATAAAGTAATTGGTTGTGGGGGGAGAGAATTTTTATTAATGTTAATAATGAAATCTGTATCAGTCCTCTTCTATCAAGTTTAGTAGGGGTATAATTCTAATTTTATTCTAATGAGTTGCATGAGTTATTTTCTGTAGCTGCTTGTGATAATACAGGCAGGCTGTGGAAACAAAGATTAATATGATGGGGGGATACTTTCAATACAAGGTTTCTTGGGGGAGTGATAGTTTGGGAAATTCTGTTCTGATAAATGAATAGCTGAGAGCATTTAAGCCCCTTGCCAATTTCTATTGGCTAGACTTCTCTTAAAAGCTCAGAAGAGCCAAAAGTTTTGAGCAAAGGGTTTTTCTTTTCTGACAATGAACAAGGCACACTGTTTCATGATAAAAGAAACCATCCTTTCCTCCAGTTTGTAAGCTCTACTGCAGTATTTCTCAGTCTTGGCAGGTTTAAGATGTTTGGACTTCATCTCCCAGAATTCCCCAGCCAGCTGAAAATTCTGGGAGTTGAAGTTCACACATCTTAAACTTGCTAAGATTGAGAAACACTGCTCTACTGGCCTCTAGGGCAGAAACGAATGTTAATTCCGTGAAATGTTTGGAAGGATTGGGATCCGTTTGAATTAGCAAAAGGGAATGTACCAATTGCAATGTGTTTGAGCCAAGGTGTTGAAATGCATTATACTAGCCCAGCCCTGTATCTTTGGCAGCTGAGCTATTAACTTCTGGCTTAGCTATGGTGCAAGAAAAAAACATTGCTGTGAATGCAGTTTTGCAGCAGGAACACTGGAGCTTGAAGGGGACACTTTCTCATTTGGAGGAACGCATGCCTTGCTTCAACTCCTTGGCGGTGCTCCCCTTTCCTCCTCTATAGTGCCACACTACTCAGACGATGGTTTTTCTAACAGAGCAAAGGGTGGCTTTGCAGTTCCCCTTTAGAATGAAACTTAAAAAAAAAAACTGATTGATTAAACAGTACAAAAAAAGCAGGTCTCTGGCTAGCAGTCAGTTTTTGCATTCCCGTGTTGGTCAGCTGAAACACTCTCCAGGACTATTCTGTTGGTCCTCTGCCTGATGAGGACAATTTTGCAGTGTTTTGAAAACGATCCTGAAGATTTGAGGAATGAAAGCTGTGGCTACACAGAATTGCCAGGAGATACTGATTTGGTCCAGGACTTTCTAACAGGGAGAAAAAAATGGGAAAGGAAGAAAAAAGAATCCTCTGCTATGATATCTGCTGAAAAATTAGGCTAATTTTTGCTTGTTTGCTTTGGGGAGGGATTTGGTTAATATTCTTTTGGCAAAAATATATGGGAATGAGGCTAATCATTCCTTGGTTCCCTTTCCTGTTGGGGCTGACAAAGTTGCTCTGAAGTGCTTCCCACATCTGAATGGGTGATTAATGGAAGTCAATAATGTCACAATTAGGTGTCAAACCAGGGAAGATCTAGGAATTGACAAAGAGAATATCAATCGATATTTAAAGTTATTGCATTTAAATGAACCACCCTTCCCATCTGGAAAGTACCATCTTGGGTGCCGAGGGTCCACATCTAGTAGATTTCATAGTATATCGAGCACCAGCTTTCTCCAACATGGTATCTTCCAGAAGGGTTGGACCACAGCTCCTGAATTCCAAGGAGCCTCCAGAAAGCCTACAAGTGGAACTTAAAGAAAACCATTCTGTTTCACTGCTGGTCTCTGGCAAACCAATGTTTAGCTTCAGAAATCTGGGTATAACTATTGAGACGGGTAGCCAGCAATCTCCAAATCACAGAGAGATGAAAGGATCTTCCTTCTCATGCTACACAAACACCAGTGGCTGGTGACCCAGCTGGGAAAGTAATGTTTCCTTCCATCGATCGCCAAAGCAACACCAAGAGCACTGCCTTAACTAAATACCTCTCCTCATGAAAAGACCATTCCAGGCCTGGCACAAATCCTCGCCCTGAGAGCCAGGGAATCCGTCTCTTTCCAAACACACCATTAGGGAAGCATTGGCAAAAGTGACATAAAGAACAGCTTGTTATTTGTGAGCACCCCACAAATAAGGCCTTAGTGTAAAAATCTATCAATCAACTGATCCTTTCCTACTGCCTGCTGTCCACGAAGCAGCCATTTTTCCTTCTTTAAATATATTTTTTAAGTGATTTCATTTCTGAAAAATGCAAAAGACACAAAGCAGCAAATTAAGTTCCCTGCTTAGCGTGTGCTTTTCGAATGGGTGCTGAGCAGATCCACTTCGGGGGACCAGTTGGTGCATTCGCAATTTTCGAAGCCTGTTACAAAATGGCAGCCGGTGGGATGGGACCCACCATAAAACAGCCATTTGCCATAAATATATTAATTAATTAAAAGAACAGCTAGTGAGATTCCTCCTTGCCACTTTGGTTTGGTTCTTCCCTTGACAAGTGGCAGTATTTCTGAGTGAAGCTCTGGGCCGCATCCACCCAAAAGTTTATTATCTCAGGATGCTTATGGGATCTATATGGGCCCCACAGGCGCTCTTGGAAATAAAAACAACGTTGGAGGCTGATGCTTAGCTTTGGGGCACGTCAGCTTCCCTTTTGTTATTATATTTAATTAAAATACTATTTAGGAAAACAACACAACCTCAAATTTAGTGGGGCAGGAAACAAGGCAGATGCTAAAAAAGATTTTTGCAGGCACATTTCTGCCTATAAACATCACATTGCCAACATCATAATTTCCTTTGGCAAAATATAAGCTAGCATCTATTAACCCTGAATTGAACTGATCTCTTCTAGGACCCTACAGGCCCAGACAGATGGAAAAATACCACTTTAAATCACACACAATAATTTGAGCCAACTGTGCACCAATCTATGTTTTCCCCTTTTTTAAAATAATGATTTAATTTATGCAAGATATTGCTACGCATATTTCTATATATCATTTTTAAAAGGATTGCAGCACATAAGGCTTTTACTGTAGCAGTATTATCTTCCAAAATCATACAATTTGACCTGCAGTTTCAACGCTCCTTTCTCTAAGATCAGCATCTAATTGGATAGTCAATAATTTAATCACAGGTTCTCAGCTTTTTGAAGCCTTTCACTATTTCTGTGGTTTTCTCAAAATTGCCACCAGTTTACCACTTCTGCTTACTCATATAATTTCCTTAATAGTTGAGACTTATTTGGGTTTTTGCTTACTTTTCCAGATTTGAAAATTGTACTTGGTTACTGGACATCGTACAACTTTCATCATAAATCACATGATTATTAGATACCAAAATAAAACTGGATAATCAAACCAAGTTAAAAAGGTTTTCTTTCATTGGTATCCTGCCCATTCTTTCCAAGGAGCTTGGGCAGTATGTGGAACTATCTCAATTTATTCTTACAACCCTTAAGATAGGCTCAGGTGGATTGGAATGAAAAGAGGCTGTGTTCATCTCTGCAATCAGCTGCGGAAATTGACTAGGTCATTTTTGCACTGTTGTTATTCATTAGCAGTGCAGAATCTCTGATACAGGGAGTCAACGGATCCAGTCTTGACCACAGAAAAACAAGACAACGTTTACCTGCCTTGGGATCCATCCTTACCTGAAACTTTATCCCACTTGCCTGTGAATCCATTCTGACCTGAAATTACACTCGTCCATAGTCTCTCACCCTTCAAGGAGGAATCTGCTTTTCCTTAAGGTTATTAAAAGAGTGGATATATTTTAGGATCTGCCTTTGCTAACATGACGTCTCTGGTATACTAGATTGTAGCTTGGTTCATACAACAGGGAAGCCATAAAGTGACTGATTTTATGTTATTTATTTATTTCAATTTGGATGCCTCCCAACTCTAACCAACTGTGGATTTTGGTTTTGTGTGAGCCCATTCATTGTGGTTTGTAAATTATGTTTAGTGGCTTAGCTTTGCAGGGAGGCAGATGGTTTACTCAACAAACCATGGTTCATTAACTAATAACTTAGCATGTTGTATGCAGTAGACCAGCAGTTTAGCTGGTGGGTTCATACATTGTGCAGAGCCACAAACCATGGTTTACACACACTGAATGGTTTCCACATTTGAAAACAAGCCCAAACAAATCACATCATCATGGTTTAGCATGACATTCAAAACCAATCAGTATGACTATACAGATGTGCTGAATGGATAGTTATTGTAATTTTGACTTCTGGAAATTACTGGAATGGGGAAAGTTAACAAAGATGGTTAAGAACTTGAACTTGGAAGTTCTTGCCAATTATATCAGTCCTGGGAGAACTGGGCAAAATTCTTATTTATTCTAAAGTCCATACATTATATAATTATTATATTAATCCCTAAGCAGCATATAGATGAAACAGGGTAAAAGATAATACATAAAACCGTTTAAATAAAGCACTTGCTGACAGAACACATCCACATAATTAACATTGATAAAAACAATACTAAACATCATCTCTCTAAGCCATTTCTAATATGGCATCACTACCAGCCTTCCATGCAGGTTGTTATTCAGAGGAATTCTTGAGATAAAGTACGTGAAAGGCTTTCAACATATTAAAATACAACAGCAGTAATTAAAGCAATGTATTTTTGTTCATCTCTTACAATCATGAAACAGAAGTCAAAATGGAAATACCAGAACAAGAAGAATAAACCAGTGGGGAGGTTTATTCAGTGCTACTGTTTAGCAGGTGGATATATAAGGGTGCTAGATGTGGACCCCAATTCAATTCACAGACCCTTCCCTGGGTCTACTGGCAAGAGGAAATCAAGTGTGGCCGTAACACAAGTTAAATAAATCTCTGATGCCCTCCAGTGGTTGGCTGGAGGATTTGATTTAGGCTTAATCAGTAAGAGCGGGCATTGCTTTAAAAGACACATTTGATTCTTGTAGCCTACAGGCTTGTACAAACCATGCAGAATTCAATTGGAATAATCAACTCCAGAAATGAATCCAATTCAACCATTTCCAGCTGAACAGAAAAATCAGTTGGAGCGCTTGGTTAAGTTGGATGCCCCAATCCAGTTACTGGATTTGGATTTTTGAATCAGTTGGAAAAAGAAACATGACTGCACATATACAAAAGCATCTGAAATGGGCCTCATCAATTCAGAGACAGCTGATTCAATTATCTGAATCGACTTCTCCGTTTCATTCAAAAGCAATTTAGAGATTTGATCAAATGGTTTTCAAATCAGGTGTCCAAACTGAATATTCACACAGCCATAGTAGCCAGCATGCTTCCCAAACCAGAGTCGGCATAATTTCAAATTTAACCCCATACATGCACAAACAACTAAAGGGTTTTTCCAATGGACTTACCCATTGCTATGAGAAGCCATACTGTGATGCCTCGATGGCTGCCATTTCAGTTTTCCAGATAATACTATAGCAGTGAGATAGGATGGAAATTAGCTCACCATTATACTGAGCTAAGAGTAATGAGAACAGGCTTTATATTGTACCAACCATGGCTGAGTGGTGCCAGAAGATGCTGTAAGACTCCCCCACTAGTGGTTATAGCATCTCCATAGCATCACTCATCTGTGGTTGAAGTGATAGAAAGCTTGACCTTGTTACTGTTATTTTGGCACAACAATGGTTGGATAAGTCTGAGACACTGTACAATTTGGGACAAGATCAGTGTGGGATACTGGTAGAGCCCTGAGATCAGTCACTACCTACAAACGTTGTTCTGACTCCAAATCCTGTTGGAAAAAGTTGCACAAGGGTTAGCATGCTACCTTTTCTTCCCTCTCCCTTAACAGCAGCCTGGCTTTCAACTGGTAGACATTGAGCTGTTCCCGTCATTCATCTCTGCATCCTTAAAAGTTTCATCTGCTACAGCTTTTGAAGGCTGTATTCACAGATCACATAAGACCAGACTAAAACCAGTCACATTTCAGCTTAGCACAAGGGCTAAATCTTCCCTGCACTCCATCATCCTAAGCCATAATACAATTAATAATATAATAATATGGCTAATAGAATACAATAGAATACAATAGAATACAATATAATCATATGGCTTGCTCAAGTTTGGCTTGGTTATTTGTGAACTCAGCTCACTGCCCTTTGTAACCCATCATTTATGGCTTACCATGATGACTGAATCCAGTCATTGTGACTTATTTATCAAAACACGGATAAAATCCTGGCTTGGTGTAAATAGTATTCTGGTTTCAGTATCACCCTGCATAGGGGCAGACCCTTGGGGGGCAGGAAGCAATTTCCAATTTCAAAAAATGAGAAGTTCTGTTTCTGCCTATTACATGATCTTGCAGTGACAGGAACTTATAGAAACAGGGAGGGGGGGGGAAATGTAAGCTTTTTTCCAAAATGCCATGAGCGGGCAGATTTCAGTCTTGCCAAATTAACTTTATCTAGGCTAATTAAATTAAAGTTATTGTTTAAGGAATAAAGCCATAGTTCAGAGTTAACAGAAATCTGCTGGACAAGGCCTCTTTCCCGAGTCTGGCACAGATCTGTTGGACTTGGACTCCTGTAACCTCCAGCCAGTCCGACACAGCTCAAGAGCACCGGGGGAAAGCTATTCTAAAGGGCACAGCACTATCCATCATATCAAACAGCCTTCATCAGCAAGTCATGGGAACGGACATCTGCTGATGTGATAATAAAACAAATCTATTTAGAACTTAATGGCAGATTATCTTAACAAGTGGCCACCAACCTCAGCATTAGGAAACAAGGCTGAAAGCCCACAGGGAAATGAACAGGACCATTACGCTAGTTTACACAGAGCGCTCAGACGTCATTCGCTGGGGCAGGATTTATGTCATCCCACCAGCTAGAGAGAGGAAACAGATAAAAGGCCACATCCTTAAATTGCTACAAGCAGGTGACAAGAGAAACTGATGCTAAAGTTGACAATGTAGACAGTGAAAGTCCAAATAGAAAAAAAGAACTTATTATTGGAAAGCGATTGAGAAGAATTAGTAGATTCTAGAAGCAAGAACTTCTGCTGAGAAAGCAGAGGCAACCTGTTGGGGGGAGCAAAGAATCAGGAGCAGCTATGACTACACAATTCAAGCATCACCCCTTTTTCAGTGTGATGTCATGGCCACCACCTTGACTCTTTGGAGCCCTGTGTGGTTGCCCCTGCCAGAAAGTTTGAGTTTTTTTCTCCCCCTCTCCTACTTCTTTCCAACAAGAGACACAGAAAAGATCATATTTAACTGCGATAGTTCCATTGTGAGTATCAAACAGGGCTGTGAAGGACCTTCAGTTGAGAGCAAAAAGATGCTTCAGAGCCCATGAAGGCACAATTCACCACTCATCTGGAACTGCTTAAACCAAGTGCATTTGTCCCAGGATCACACAGAGATGAATTCCCAAGAAAAGGCAAGGCTGCTTTAAGGTGTTACAGCTAGGCGCTCTACTTGCGTTCACCCAGATTTTAAAATGGTCCTAGTATCTTCTGGCTCTAGAACACCAATGAGGCCTCTGAACATAGTGGATATAAGGTTGTGCTTATTGTAGGAAATTAAAACTTGAGAGGTGCTTTAAGAAATCTTGCCTAGTAAGCAGATATGGAATGATGCATAAAGCAGATACCATAACCACATAAATAAATAGACAGGGTATTCCTGCCATTTCATTTGTTTGTTCTTATAAAACTATCTGGGAAGGAAGGAAGGAAGGAAGGAAGGAAGGAAGGAAGGAAGGAAGGAAGGAAGGAA